AAACCACTTAAAATCAGTCTAATTCTTGATCCAGGTAAAATTTGAAGCCAAAATCAAAAAATAATAAATCACATAGAAGTTGGATTTTTGCAGGAAAAAACCTAGGACCTCCAACTTGTCTTTATAGTGGACGCATGGTAGTCAATGCTTTTACTTGATTTTTCCAGTCATAGAAAGCCAGAAAAAATGATAGTCCAAAAATGGCGAACTCCGCCCCTTAGCTCCTCTCACATATGCAATTTTATACCACAAACCTTATTGAGTACAACCGTAAAATGTTACCTCTGTATACCTTGTAACTGAGAAATACCATTACATGAAAACACAAAAAGCGACATTTTTGCATTTTTGGGCTAAAATCATCTCTTAATTTAAGACCCGGAAAAGATCAAATTCAGTTTTGAGTTTTAGTTTGCTGTATAATGAACAAGCTGGTAGTCCATAGGAATATTCCGGAAGGAGACTGAATTTTCAGAGTTGAAAATTTTGGATTTTGGCTTCAAATTCAATCTAGATCAAGACTTAGGCGGATATTGTTGGACATTTTGTGAAGCTTGTTCTTTCGAATGATACCTCCAGTTTTGCGATGGAAACAAAAACGTTCTGCTTTATCTAGAAAAATGTTTTGCTTATGTGCACACTAATATAAAAATCTGCATATTCACCTCAAAATCGTCGTTTTGTTTAGGCTCCTGAAAGAACTGCAAATGGTATGAAATGCCCTAACAAGAAATGCACTTTACGCTATGATCGTGGCATGTGCCGTGATCCATCCGAATACTATCAGTGGTTTTGGGAGTATCGAGCCAAATACCATAAGAGGGGCCGCAGAGCGGTAACATAACATAATGGGCTAACTGAAGTTAGTTTTAGTGGGTCTATTTTTAGGGTTATGAAGCCACACCTGATGTTTTGGAGCCAATGAAGCTTATCAGGAAAGAGTTTGCTGAGGCGAGTTTTGTTCGATGAGGTTTTTTGTAGTAGCTGGAGTGTCTTCATTTCAGTTATGCACACTGACTAGAAATGAGAGATTCAACACTTCGAAGAAGGAAGAATTCGAGAGAGCTGCTTCAAAAAGATTTTCCGCCTATGAATGTCACACGGTCATGGAATTACGGAAGATGGTAAGGTTCTCTTAGATTGGAAATTTGATATTGGGCTCAGAGTTTAGAGATGTTCAATCCAAGGAACACAAAAAGTGTACCACTTGCTCTTTTTGGACATGAATCATTAGGAGACACTTTTAAGTTACGCATGGCGGAACATACGAATTTTTTTTCAATGCTGCGGAAAACTCGACGACC